CCTCCCTGAAAAGGAGAAACGGATGGAACATGCTTTGATCGATGAACACCATTGAAAACCCCATCTTGCTGACCTAGTTGCCGCGACACCCCCTGTTTGTTGGAGTTTGGCCTTGCAATTCCCAACGGACGTCAATCTTCCTCACCTGATTGCAGACCGGATCAGATGCCAATGTGGTGCAGCCCTGGTCCATCGGTATGATCGCATTTCGGCGCCTGCGGGTCATGGCACCTTTCCCCACCTATCCCCATGGTAGGTTGACATATCCCGAACATACAGGAATCTGTTCATTGTAGGGGGTCAACATCCGATGCTCGGGTGCCATGACCCACATCCATCGCTTGTTTTCACAAAGGATCTTGTGGCTACCAGACAAATCTGCCGGTATCCCTGGAGTTCCATTGTTTTGTTTTTTTTCCGATTCACTTGCAACCATTGGAATTCATTGATGCACTCCCCAGCATCCTCTACAGTTCTTCAGCAAGTATACAAGATGATCATCAATGATTAAGAACATGCAAAGACACCAAAGCCACCAAAAAGTGTCGGGTTCACGCCCAGGTGATGTTTGCCTACAACATTTACCTTTGCTATCAGGTGGCCTCCATTCGCCCGCGTGCGGAGGAGGAGGAGATTCCCACCACCATGCACCCTGGCGAAGGACATAATGTATTTGCAGAGTGTTCATTTAGAGAGATCGGTCTATATACACTCCCTGGAACTAACATGGTTACGTGGAGAATGGCCCCTTCAAGGACCATTTTCCAATACAAACAGGTGGTGAACTCCACTTCCATGTTAGTTCCAGGGAGAGTACTTGAGAAAAGAACCACTTTGTGGTGCACTTCGGCAGTTCCATCTCTCATCAGGCTGGGGCTTTTGGTGCCTACGTTGTCCTTGGCCTATTTCGCCATCAGCAAAAGCCCTGCCAGGCGATCCGTGAAAAAAAACCACCTGCGCCGCTGGTCTCGTGCCAAAAGTGCGTGGTTCAGGACCTGAAAAGCAGAATTGTTCGGAGAAGAACCCATCGGCCACGGGCCACGGTCGTGCCAGCCAAGCTACTAGCAATGGCCTCCAACCTACTAGGAATGGTGACCCTGGACCCGAACATTCAAAAAGCATGTGATGAGATGGAGATGGTTGTTGATTTCGCTGACTGACGAAAATCTGATGATCATTGTGACGAAGATGATGATGAGGATGATATGTTCTTAAAAACACTGTAGATACAAGGTATAAATATATGTACAGTAAAGTACTTGTTGGGAACTCTTGGTGGAGACGTTGTAGGTGGTGGATTCACCACTTCTTCTCCCAGTTTCTCGGTCAGGCACCTCGCAGGCCGCAAGCAGAACTCCAGCGACACCACGGATGACTTCGAACCTGGGCAGCGGTGCAGTGGGTGGAGGTGGCGACTTCGGCAGTGGTTGGTGTATTGGTCTGGACACTTGGGTTAGACAGCCATGATCTGGAGAATTATATTTTTGCTTGCACCCCCCCCGTGGCCCCTTGGTCTCACCGCGGGCACAGGTAAGGCATCCGGATGCCCATGAGACATGGGCAGTTTGGACCGTGGGCATGCATGGGTTCGGGTAGCACATATGAAAATATCCAATCGGAGAAGATCTTAAGGGCAACCACTGCTGTCGTTCTTGGAGTTTGGAAGGGATCGTTTATTTTTTATCTTGGGTGATGTGGTGTGTTAAACACAAACTTTCGACAGGAAAGCTTGGTCTTGGTTTGTTTCTTGGACAAGGATGCCCTGTTGCTGACCATCAGCAGGTTGTTGGTCACTGCCACACAATCGGTGCACGCAAAAGCACGCTGCTTTTGGTAAAGAGAGGTCGGCCATTCTCTACCGGGCCGGCTTAGCCTTTAGCATCCCTCAATCCATGTGGGGTGATAGTGAGATCCCCCTAGCAGGAGTTCCTCTTTGTTGCTTTCCAGTTGTGACCATTTCGAAGACTAGCCATGCCCACGTGTTGAAAGCAGGCTCCCGAATCAGGTCACAAGGTGATTTCAACTGCAGGTCCCAAATCAGCAGCGTGCGGCTAGGGGTGAAGCTTTCATACCAGCACCGACTTCACAGGTCACCAATTGAGACCTGTGACAGGGCCCTTCAACCCTCCAGCCATCGGAGACCTGTTGGGTTCGGTGCTGGTAGAGATATCTGGAAGATTGACCCACTGTGCGCAGAACCGACCTGTTACGCCCGAACGTCGAAGACCACCGACCACCGACCCAAACGGACCGACCGGTGACGCCCGGCGCGGCAGCGGAGGATCCCAACGACTTCCTCCTGCGTTGCTTCGTGCACTTCCTCGCGGACTTCTACGTGACCTCCGTGCTGGCGCCGAGGGTGCCCTGCCCTCGGTGTGTGGGAAGAGCGAAGAGCGCGGTGTGGTTCAGTAACACGACACCGAGTTCGACGAACCGGCGGGGGGGGGGAGTGGTCCGCGGTTTTGGTGCGGACGACAGAACGTATGACTGGACATTACTATATAAGGTCACCCAACACCATGCACCTTCTGACAAAGAACCATGTGGTGGATCCGTTAGACTGAGGAGTCCCAGTCTTGTCAGTGGATTCACTTCACATGCTAAGCTCTCGATGCAGCTCTCGATGCTAAGCCTCGTCTCGACCCCACAGATGCGGTCCGGCGTCCGGCCGGTCCGGCGTCCGGCTCGCGGTGACTGTCGACGCGGCCGCACGCACTGTGTCGGTTGAGCGAGAAGTTTGACCGTCTGCAACTCTACAATATATGCCTCGGGGTGTCCTGGCTGGAGGTCCCTTAGTAGTGGGCTGGGGCTTCCATTGGTGACCCCGACATGAAGGTGCTGGTGTACTTTTAAACTAACTATGTTGCAAGAATGAGAGGTGGGGAGGAGAGCTTCTACCAAGCAACCGGCTCATTTCTCCTCCTCCTTGAGCTTTGAAGAGATTTCTGGAAAATCACGCACTCCTACATCAGAAGATCGATATACATCAATGAAGGTCCTGTGAGAATCTCTCAACTGTTTAATCTTCATGCGTGAAACTCACGCCGTTCCAACCCTTTCTGCGCCCATCTCCGAGTCCGTCCTGCCCGACCAGGTGAGTTGGCTGCGGTTCAACATCCGGGCTGCGACCGTCTTCGTGCCGCGAAGCAGTGGGAACGGATGGTGCAGTAGCTCCCCCTTTGCTCTGGGCCGCAGCAGGGCATTCTGGGGCGAGGCATATGACTCCCATTGGAGGAAGATGGCCCACCGAAGCAGACGGTCTTGAACAAGAAGGATGCAGCAACTGGAAGCCTATGCAACTCCCAAATTCCACGTGAATCCGACCAGAAGAGGGGGGTGAATATGTGATGTAGTACCCTTGCCTGCAGGGCTACAGGGATGCCTGTGGCATCGAAAAAGGAACTTGTGGCATCCTACGCATCCAATGCATCCAAAAGGCACCTCTTTGGAACCAGAATATGGGATAAAAGAGTGGATGTGGGATGATGTGGGCAACCATCCCCCAGGACACCGAAGGGCGCCCCTAGGCGGTGCACCTCAGACACCCATCTCTTTTCGATGGGCCCAGAGAGTCCTGGCACCCGTGGGTCATGGCATCCGGGCACCGAACTTGTTTTGGACCGAAAATGAACCGATTCCCAGACACGACCTGTCTGGGACTGCGAGTCCGGACTGCCGCCCCAGACAGACCCCCAGTCAACCACCCCTGGCAGGCCGTTTCTCGGCATGCTATGGCAGTCCCAGACAGGTCGTGTCTGGAATTCCCCTTCTTCTTCGGGATGTCAACCCACCAGACCGGTCTGGTGGGGAGGCTAACCCGAGCCAAGCGGTTTCGCACACGGCAGAGACACCGCCTCCACCAGGTCGATGCGAGGAACGCCTGCCTCCGCTCCCCAAGAGCATCAGCCTCCGAGGTGTGTTTGGCGGTCTACGCTTGGACCTTGGTCGCACCGAAAGTCCTTCCTGACCGCGATTTCTGAGGTGAACCTTTTTCGATCAACATCAGAATCATCGAACGGTCCAAACAAAGGGCGAATCGCCATGACTCTGCAGGTGCTTGATGCACCCTGGGGCTCCTGGCCCACATCCTCAGGTGGTCAGGGTGGGTGCCAGGAGGGTCTAACTGGTGTCTAACTAACTACACCTTCTGAATCCTTCTGACATGATTGGAGCACTAGTCACTAGAGGGGATCATGATCATCACGTGACGTGGCGACCACCTCGTTGTTTGGACCGTTGAATTGGGGCGGAGTTGCTTGGACTCAGATGCACGAGATGACTGTACATAGCGGAGATGAACAGGCGGATGCACACCCAGCAGCGCTGCTTTGGGGTGAAGAAAAGAGACTCGTGCCGGGTGAAGAATCACGTATTGTTCCTTGTGTCAGACTTTCAATCATTGGAAGTTTGGTTGTCAACAGCCTAACATCGACCGGGTGGTGGTTTCAGATATTTTTATGTCCAACACTGACTCGTATTTTGCGTTTCTTATTCTTCCCTGCTTCTGGGGTCTTGGGTATTGTATGTTCACCAAGCCGATGGAGGTGAGACTCCACTACGAGCAGCCAAAGGATAGATGGTGTACATCTTGTTCCCCAGATATGCGAAGGTGCCACCCCGGATTTTGAGAGGGTTCCTTCCTACCTTCTCAAAAGGTATAAGTCCTGTCCAAATTAAAAGCATTGCATGTGGGTTTACCCTCCAAGGAATTGACCTTTGCTTTGAGCATCTCTTTTTTTCAGGCAGAAGGGAATTCAGCTCTGAGGTTGGAGGCCCTTTGCTACGTAGCAGGGAGGCCGTTGGCGTCCATTGCTTATTGGAGGCCATCGCTCTTAGGTTGGAGGCCATTGCTACTATAGGTTTGTTGAGCCGTCCTTAGGGCACCATGAATCTGCGAACACGACCGGTCGGTGGGGCGACTTCGGCGATCGGAGGCGTTTTGAAGGTCTGACGGTCTCGGAGCCTGACGCACACGGTGTTGGGATTCGTCCATTTCCGGGAAGGGCTCAAGGTTTCTTTAACAATTTTCCATTCCGTGCCCGATTGTTTTCACGATTCTCCGGTGCATGGCCGGGCGTCCAGGGCCAAGTGGCCTGGAGAGTGTCAGAAGCTCTTTGCAGCCAGGAGAAGTCGTTGAGAATGTGCTGAGTGAGGCTTGTGAGCAGCAAGACATCAGCTGGGAAGACATTGAGCCGCTGGCAGCGACTGGGGAAGATGCTCAACCTCAAGAGGTGGATGACTGGGAAGATGCCCTGCAGAGCTTGCAGGCTTCGTGGTCCTCCTTCTTATCATGGACGCAGTCCCAGCTGGCCACTCCGCTTCCTTCGCTTGAAGGCCAGCCCAGTCGGCTTCGCCATGAACTCTGGCTCAAGCACATGAACGCTTTTCTGGAGAAGGAACAGCACGCACAGACGTCCCAAGTGCCTAAAGCGGGCCAACGGTGGAGCTTGGCCCGCTTTCTTCAGCGAGTGTTCCGGCCGAGCCGCGTGGAGGAGCCGTGTTGACCTGATAGGCCACGGCTCTCCAATTTGAATCACATGGGTTTTCAATGATCTTTGCTGTGTGCACGAGCACGTGCACTCAGATCCTATAACAACTATAATGATTCTCGTTGAACTTGGGCGAATTTTTAAAAGATTCCCAGAGCAAGCCTAAGGAGGTTTGTACTGGTACAAAGCATTCGCACCAAGATGCTGCCTGCATTGGAGAAAAGGCTTGGGTTATTTGTGCAATTCCAGTCATGCTGATAGTGGGGATTGGAGCCAGGAGTGCTAATGGGGTATACGAGAATGTGCCCATGCAGGATAATTGTAAAGGAGTAGTAGAGTTTCATCATGCCTATCATCATACATCATCCAAGAGACATACTTGCCCCGCTGAAGACATCGACTAACATGGACCCTGGATTTCTCCACTGCCCTACACATGGGGAACCCATTCCACGCTGCCTTGGGCCTGCGTCGCTGCCGCCTTCGTCTCAGGACGGGCCATTTGGAACCATCAATGGCTTCAGGTCAGGGGCCGTTTGAGCGCTGAGATCGGTGGTTTTGCAGGCAGCTTCGATGGTGGGAAGGACAGGAGAAAAGCTCTTTTCAGTCATGGTGACTTGGGAAACTGGCAAACTATGGGCCGAGTAGCGATGCACTTGTTCCTAATAGCAAACATTGTTACTACTAGTAAGGCACTTGTTACTACGAGCGTGGCACTTGTTACTACATTATGGGCCTGAAGAATCCATCAAGCTCTTCCTGGAAAAAACACCTTGTTGCTGTGGGTCAACATCTGGAGCTCGTTTCTGGTAGGTGGACATCTGGTAGTCTATCCTCTTCACTTTCTGCAGGGGAAGAAAAACGAAAATCGGCGCCCCCTTGTCATGACCCACAGACCCACAGCCACTTCGAGACAGTCTCGCAAATTCGAGCAAGAAGCTACTAGACTGGTAGCTCCTGGCATTCCATGAGAAGCGACGCGCGAGAACGGCCGGTACGTGTCGGAGGACGGGTCGTATGACCCTGGTAAAAGAACCACCCCATATGTATCCCAATGTATGAAACAGTGGTAAATAATGGTAAATATAGATAGAAACCGTTTTCGCAGCGTTTTGAAATTGGGTTTTACTTCAAAAAGAACTATGTGGGGTTCTATATACAAAAACAAGACGAAACCATAGTATATTACATATCTCATATCGACATTTAATAGTGTATTTAATGTGTGTATATATATTTTTTTTTTTGGAAGATGGCATTGAGGAAGGTCCTTCAGGGGAGGCTGAAGAAACACCCAACAGTTCTTATTGAGTGGGGGGCTGTAAAGCCAACATGAATTAGGGAAAAACGATGTCACAGATGGTAAACAAATCAGTGGTATATGTACTGTAGCTATATGTTGTTATACTTGTTCAATTTGCTTGCCGTTTGTCAAAACATATCTGGTTTTTCTTTCACTTCTTTTCTCCGTGTCGCCGAAACGGGCCACTTTTGCGGTTGACCCTTTTGGTCGCCGCGTCGCTCCTTTGACGAGGACCCTCCGGGTTCGGTGGATGGGCATTCTTTATAGGGAAAGGTCAGCCAAGCCATCGAAAGGAAGGGCCAATTGGCGTCACCGGGGACGACCCATCCCCCACGGACTTGGGACCACGTGAAACCACGAGCCCCGCGTCGACGGATGGGTGCGCGAGACACGCTTCGCGTGGCAGGATGGGCCGTTTGCATGAGCAACCAGTTCCATGGGAGGAGGCCAGGAGTTCCGTTTCTTTGGGCAATCGCTGAGACTTGAAGTAGGTGGGCATCAGCAGACATTGAGCAGCATGGGATTTGCCAGGATCTCAAGTCAGAATGAAGTTTGACCCACTTCCGCGATGTTCGATGCACCTAGAATTACAGCCTTGCAGTATATACACACAGAACCGGTAGCATAGATATCTATAATTACAGCTCTAATTACAGTAATAAGTATGGTTGCATGTAAGTATATTAATTTTATGTAATTGATGTATATTACACCTACGGCCAATCGATGTGGTCATCTCATGCCATTGTCATTCTTGTTTTCCAGGCGTTCCGTAGCTCTCGATCCGTTGCTTCGTCCTTCGCCTTCCGAATGAGACCCTGCAACCTCGACCCTGACAGCGCAACCAGGTGAATGCCGCCTGGGGCCAAGCCTGCCTTTTGCTGGATGCGCTCGCCCGGGGCACCCGGACCCTTCCCGCAGCTGGAAGGGGCTCAGGCTCACCATGAGATGAAGGATGGAGCTCACCATGCAAGTCCCAGACATGACCTCAATGGAACTGCCAGCCGAGAAACGGCCAGGGATGGTGCCAGGGGGGTGGTCAATGTAGGCTCCATACAGCTTGGCTCACAAGGGTTGTTTGGTGCCATGGTGAGGGCTGTGAGGAGGCCGAGAGATGCTAACTCACAGTCTCGTCCAGTGGGGTGTCCATGTGATGTACCTAGACATGCCATAGGACGGCCGTATACATTGGGGTGGTTGAAAAGGGGTGAATGGAGGCAAGTATGCCAGTCCCATGGAGTGTTTGGGGTATGACAGTTGGGGAACTTGAGAGTCGGGGAAGACGGAATTCCTCGAAGGATGCTAACCGATACTGGCTGATGAACCCCACTTTCCTGGTTTCTGTTGCTTCATTGATGTGAGTGCATGCAGGTCCCTCCTTTTTTGAAGGAACAGATAGATGGAGACCTTTCTTTCTCCATGTCAAGAATTCCTCAAGAGATTTCAGGGTGACTGCTCGACTGCCATGCCAGGGTCGTTGTTCCAAGCATCCACAGTCTAGGGCGGTGCCCTGAGTTTGTCTTTCCCGTGGAAGTTCCATCAGAGCCAACCACGTTGACGTCGTCCATTGGCCTTTTGCTATTGGTTGGTTTATAGAGTGGATACCCCTGGTCGGCCTGGTCGTGTACAACCAGTAGGTCCAAATTGTGGTACCACAGAACCAAACCGCCCCTCGACCCCTCTTTTCCAAGTACGGACATGGCAGACCAGGCTCAGACCGGGCCACCGCGGCCTCCGGTCAACGAAGCAGGTCAAGAAGCTCCGCTTCCCCAGCGGCCAGTCGCAGTACAGGCCGTTTAACAATCCTGGAGGGGTGGCAGAGACTTTAGACCGAAGCTGTTTAAGATCGTTTTCAGGAGAAAAGGGGGACACATCGAAACACCCGCAAAGAGGATCAGATGATCCAATCCTGCATTTGCACACCGCACACCCAGTTGTTGGTCGTCATGGGATCATTGCTAGGCCCAGATCCTTGTTAAAACAGTCTACTGGAGGATGAAACACAGGTGATCGCTTAGTCCAGTTCGCTGGAAGAGAAGAGAGTTTCTTCATTTCACCACACCCCAGTCCACACCCCATGTTTGGATATTCGTCGCATCAAGGAGGGAACATGGTTAGTTGAAGTAGCTGTGCATTCCTTCATTATGTGTCTATGTCTCATTCGGAATGTTCAATGCATATCTTGAAAAGCGAACAGCTGTTGTGGTGGTTTCACCGTTGTGTGACCATGGATTGTGGCTAGCGACCAGCCAGGAGACGAGATCGAACACGGAACGGTCGCGAGGTGAAGACGAGCATGTACTGCAGCAGATCATTCGCATGTGGATACCGCTTCAAAGTGACCTGTTCGGGCTTTTACATGCTGCCAACGCAGATATTCTATAAGGGAAAGGACGCTTCACCAACATAGCCACCCAAGGGGCAGCAAACGCTTGGTCGGGGCTTGCCTGAAAAGGTGGGAGAAGATTTGGACCTCATCCAGGGGTGTTTTGAATCCATTTTGTGGACACCCGAAGCGGCACCGTCCGGGTGGTTTCTCAGTCCCATTGTCCCAAGGCGTTGGGCCTTCCGACGGTTTCCGCGATCCATCCAGGCTGGTGCCCAAAGGCAGCTTTTCTTCCATCAAGGTGCGCGACTCGCGCCGTGGGGTATTTGCCAAAGGGACTACCCTAAGAATCATTGGACCCTCCGAACTGGAGGGTTTTGACGCTGCATAGCAGGGATTTGGACCCTCAAAACCTTCACCTTTGAGGGTCCTTGATTCTTAGGGTAGAGAAGTTTCATTGAATGGGTCTCGGTTCCAAGTCTTTTGTGGAACGTTTGAGATCGCTTGTGTTTCCGACCCCGATCAGGTTTAAACAAAAAGACAGGTTTCAAGTTGTTTTGACATGTTTCAACATCTTAGGTTTTGTACTGTTGAAGTTGAGAACATGGCTGGTTACTTTCAAGTGTTTGTGTGGCGAACGCAGGCACTTTCAAGCTTTCATCCCGTTTCTTGGTCATGCGATCTATTGCATGTGTTGGTTCTATCTGTGAGAGACACGAATGGAGGGGCCAGGTGTTTGTTCACTTCGGGTGCCGAGCAGGTGAGAGATGGGATTGCTACCGGTAGGGAGGATGGTGGGATGCTAGGCTCAGGTGGATTGAAAGATACATCATGATTTGCTAGGCCGTTGCAACATAGGCTCAGGATGTTTCAAAGAAGCCAGGGAAACATGTCACCATGGCAATGTACGCATGCAAAGTTGGTGAGAGCAATTAGGATTGTGATTTCTCACCTATCATGGGGGGGCTTCATCAGTTCCCATGTTGGTCCAACTGAGGCTAGACATGCCGTTTGACATCATGAGGAGTACGTAGCAGCTGTTTTGCCACAAGGAAGTGTCAATCGTCCAGCAATGCGTGATTTCGGTTGCAGGTGTGGGCTTGGCTTTTTGCTTTTGCCCAGGACTTGATTTGGTGAGATTTGATGATCTCAGTGAGCTTCACCTTCACGAGACCCGTTGGTGCCACTGCTTCAGGCACTTTTGGTCAGCAGCTTTGGTTCAGCAGTCATGTAAGGCAGTGGATGGTCAGTTCCTTCGGTCGCTGCCAAACAGCTGGTGGGAGGTTCACTCTTGGAAGTCTTCACGCCTCAGGCTACCGCAGAGTGATCATTTTTGGTCAAACATTCTACGTGCACCGTGTTGTAGCATACTCCTTTCTAGGCCTCCCTCCTGATGATAAGACATGGCTGGTGCACCACAGAGATGGCAACCGGGCCAACAATTGTTTGGATAACCTAGAATATGCAACTCAATCAGAGAACAGCCTGCATTCTTATACCACAAATCCTGGAAGGGGTCGTGCAGGTAGTGCACAATCAAAGCCGGTGATGTGGAGACCAATCGATTCCCAGCTTTGGACAACTTTCC